CACCGCGTCTCTCTCTCGGACTCTAAATCAGATTTATTTTCTTGTACTAAAGCTCTAGATCCCCGAAACACAATGCAACACTGGCAGGATATACCGTTACGGGACGCCTGTTGGGCTAGCAACAACGCTGTCAGATATCAACGTTGTATCTCTGTTTCTCTCTGTCTTTTTTGGTGCCTATCTGCACCTCTCTGGATCCGTCCCTTTGACAACTCTGTAATTACTCAACGTTTTATTGCGAGACTTTACCTGTCTCTCTCTCTCTCTCTTCTCTGTATCCCCATTGCTTCTCGCCTGAAGATGCAACTTTGTGCAGTTTCGAGGAAAATTTCCATGAACAACTTAATTAAAGGAAGGAGGCAGCAGCGGGGGATGGGAGGGTGAAAGTAGGAGTAGAGAATGATGGTAGCAAAGGTGGCGGTAAAAGGTGCCAATCAGCGGCCAAATCAAATTACGTAGGAACCAGTTTACCGTTAGGGCACACTCAAAGCGTGAAAACTTTTTTTTTCAAAACTTTTCTTCATTTTTCCAAGTATTTTCATGTTTTATTTCGTAAAGAAATTTATTTAATTTAAGCAAAAGATATAAAAAAATCGAAATATCCATTAATATTTACACTCTTTCTTTCTCCTCCATTCCACCTCTTTTTCTTCGCCACTCTTTTGCTCTCTTACGCTTGGTTAACGGTAATTTCTTCTTCTTTTGTGTATGTGGCTGAAAAAACTGCAAAAAAGGAAATTGAAGATGAAGCCAAGCGAATGGAATTTAAATGTGAGAATTTCCCTCTTTTTTTTCGCCGGAACAAAAGAAGAAATATGAAATTTTCGGCAAAAGCCTCGCAGAGCACACAAACCCTTTTGGTCCCCACAACAACCCACTATCCAATGCGAGCTCCACTGTAGTCCTGTGTCCAGCTTTTAGTGGGTCAGGTCCTTCCCCCAACACTCGCTACGAGCCTCAAACAGAACTAATTTCATTTCGTTTTCTCTTTTTTTTTCATTTTTCATTTGTTTTTTTATTTTTGTATACTGCAGCCGCATTAAGCACACATATAATTTGGAAGAAAAAAAAGGAAAACGACAGGAGCTGTGTGTTGTGGGAGTACATAAAAGTAGGCGAATGAACTTTACCCGAAGGGAGAGAGACACGAAAAAAAGGGTCAAGCCAAGGGAACTCCCTTTTATATATGTACATAGGTAAGGATAAGACTTAGAGAAGGTTGTAACAAATTTAAAAAAACCTATCTTTCTTATTATTCGAATATTATATCAGTGTTTACTGCTTTCTCATGCTTAGAGTATTCTACTGCTTCTTATCAGCAGAGCTTTGGACTAATTGATCTTCTACCACTACAGCCTCATGTAAGTATTTTAAACAATTTTATATACGAAATTAAAACCAAACCAACCAAACTTTTCTAAACGTTCTACTAAATCTGGATTATTTCCATATCATAAACACGGGCTTTATATTTACATATCCCCCAACTATAATTAAAATAAGCAGATAATGAAATTTTATGGTTTTTTGGGGATATTCGTCGAAAAGCTTTGCGTCAAAATTTAATTAGATTTCACCGTGAGCCGAGCTAGCTACTGAGCTCTAACAAAAACATTTTAAAACCCATTAAAATGTTGTTGCTGAACAAAATTTAGCAGACTCAACAAAATAGCAATACAGCTACACGTGCATATGTATATGTATAAGGGGATATTGTCCAGTTTTAATGGCCCCCTTGGGTGACCATAGCCATGGATCCATCGTCTATTGTCCATCAGACACCTCCGCCGCTTTGCCGGCACATCTGGCGTTGCATGAAATTTGCTTTCAATTAACAAATTGTTTCGGAACGATGAAGGAAAATCGATAAGGAACGACGACTGGCTTTTCTCTCTAACCCCCCATCGTAATCCCTTTCTAATTTTTTGGTTTAGGCAAAAAAGTCCAAACCGTACCAAGACCACGCCCAGGATTTAAAGGAGTGCAAAAAGAAAAACCACAAGTCAAAGGAATTTTATGGTATAATTTTGCATGAAAAATGCAGGAAACGGGATGCAGGATGCATTCCACCTCCTCCTCCGCTTCCATTTCCTTTATGCATAGAAAATTCCTTACTTGGTCAAAGAAAAGGAAGAAAACTTTCCCCTCCCTACGAACCAGCAGCAGCAATCGGATGGCAAAGTTTTCAGGAGATAGCGCGACAGAATTGTAAGTGAATCTTGGGATGACAAGGAACTTTCTTACGAAACTTTTGTTTTTTTTTTCTTGTTGCTTAAAACTGAAATTGAGAGATGACTTCATGTCAAGGAAATACTCGTATTATACAGATGTTCCATCTACATCCAGATGTACATATGTATGTATGTGTTGAATCCGACTCCTGGGTGCTACATCAATAAATCAAATTCGTAGGCAGACAGACTAGACTCTGACAGTCAACCTCCTACTCGTACAATAAAATCCGGCAAAAATTTGTGAGTCACCAAACAAAACAAACAAATTAAATAAAAGAAGCAGATAACTTGGCACAAAAGCTCCACACACACATACACGGCGATAACCGGCGATAGGAATCCCGTATAATCATGGACAAAATGGGGGAGGAAAAAGCTAGTTTCTTGCGTCTTGGATTTGGCAAAAAATCAAAATAATAGTAGTGAGAAATGGGTACGGTACAGATAGTTTGATGCATAAATATAAAGAAAATACAGATAAATACGATGCATAAATTGATTCGATGACGCGGTAGAGAATTGACTTCTAGGAGGCGTGGCACTGCAGTGATTGAATAAGAGCAAGCAGTGGATTATTACTTTATACAACCTTAATAAGAAATGATCAAGCAATGTATGAAAACTGTCAATCAAGAAACCAGTGCATGACGGTCTACGTCAGAGAATCACTAATGAAGCAGTGAAAACAGACAGACGGACAACGGACAATCAGACGACTGGACTGATAGACACACCGGAGAGGAGCAAAAAACAAAAGAGACAAAAAAATTGATTTAAGGGTCGCTCTGATAGATACCCATTGAATGTTACGTAGTAGATGTGGTGCAGCCTATTACTTTCCAAAGTCCAAACTACCTTTTGCACACCTCTCATAGCCCGCACACTCAATGCAGCCTGCGGGCATCTCAACCATATGGTAGGTGGGAGGGGTAGCCTGGGAACAGAAAAAAAACAACAAAAGCAAACACAATGCCATGTGATAGACAACAACCCGCACGTAAGGGCAAAGACATTGAAAAAAAAAAAAAAAATGTTACACGACGAGTACGTAACGAGCGGCGGCAGGCAGATGTCATTGAAGAGAGAGAGAGAAGAGAACCTGAAACTTTTAATTGCATTTCGATGGGCAAACTCTCCTTGCTTCCTCTCTCTATTTCTCTTTCGGCTTGGATCCTCTTCCCTCTCTCAAATGACAGACAGGGGCATGGACTGTCCCTCGTTTGTGTTATCATTTACAGGTGATATATGTGTGAATGATATCTCTTATCTATAGAGATAATGCTGATGATTCATTCATTTGTTGAATTTGCGCCTGATTTGTATTCGCTTTGGCTGTTTGTTTATTCCCCGCATGAAATGCAACTCAAATTTATTATCATTTAACATCCAATTGAGACCGAATGTAAATACATTTTTCTATCAACCCCAAAAGAACCCCCAAAACGAGTATTTTACGCTTGTGGGAGGGTGTCTGATACAATATCCGAGACCGATGACTCAATTCTAGAGTTCCATTCCGTAGCCGGGAATCCATTGCATGTTCGAGTCACATTAGACGGAGCATTGCCGCCTGACAGGAAGTGTGTGCTTGTCTGAGTGTGTGGGGCAATGATGCATGATAAATGGCATATATGTATGTAATATACCCAAAACTATCATAGATAATGCTTAGAAATTAAACACGCAAGAGGCATTATGGAGAGGCTCTGCTTTCGAAGATGTCAGTCATGGCAAAAACATTCCACAACATATGGAATTCATATGAACATATATTCTCTAAGTGGATGAAAAAATGTTCAATTATGGATTTTCATTCAATATAATTCAATGATTCTTATATTAAATGATTAGTTCTAAATAAGTTCTAAAAGCACCCAAATTCTATAAATAACTATTAAACACACTCGGACCTCTGATCTCAAGTGTTTGCGTTCTCGCATCTCTCTTGTCATGAGATCATCGGCACAAAAAGAGGCTTTGTATTCACAAAAAAAAAAATAACCATAACTTGACTTTAAATGTATTTTTTTTTTACAAATATTATGGAAGCAATTCTCACAGTCAGTCGAATGATGCATCCATGATTCAGGGGAAGGCAATTGTACTATCACACAATATAAATCCCATTAAAACCGCACTAATAATGCAATTGAGATTACTATGAGGGGGGGGAACATGTCAATTAATCAGAACATTTTCTATCAAATTATTGCTAATTATGGAAACGTTATAATTCATTACCATTCGGCCTGAAATTAAAGGCACTAAAAGCTCTCTTTTTTTACTGCAAAAATTATTCTGTTCTATTTATTGCTTGATTAAGGTATTTGCCCGCAACTCTAAAGTAGGTCTATTTTTATATTGTGGCAAAATGTCAAGGGTACAACAGACGAGAGAAATTAAATTCAACGAGTTATTTACAGCAAATCATCATGATACGGTAATTATTATTATCATCAGCTTTGACCTTTCTTTTGCATATATAATACGAGTGTATCTAAATATAGGGTATCCCTCAGTCGAAATATACACTTTCGATTCCCAAATGTCACACAGAACAAAGGGCGGGCATTTATTCATTCGAGGAGAGACGAAGGCATGCCCCAAAGGTTACATCAAACCCGACCTTCGACAATTATTCAGTGCTGGAATTCCTCTGGGAATTAATTTCGCGTAGAGAGAATACGAGAGTAATTTTGCAAAAATTGCCATATAAAAAATATATGTTAAATATTGGAATAATTAATGCCGGTTCGGTTTACTCACCTCAACTCTAGGGAATGAAGCAATGCAGCTGTTTGTTATTTTTGTTGTTGTTTGTTTCGACTGGAAGGCTGGAATCAAGAACTCGTGACTGGAAACTGGAGGCTGGGTAGTCGATGGCTGCTGGGATGGTGGAAACACTGGCGGCGGCTCGGCAAGGCTTTTCGCGGGCAGCGGAGTCGCGTTTTTCAGGGGCTTTCTCTTTTTGTTGTTGTTTTTGATTGCATTTTGAATGGCAGTTTGATTGATTGACATAATACGATTAATAATTTTATTGTTTCTTTGTTTTTTTTTCCACTGTAACGCGATTAGGTGTTTTATTTTTTTAAGTGCTGATTGTTGTTTGTTGCAGGTGCGGTTTTTGTTGTTGCATTCTCTATCTTTCGTTGCAAAAGTTGAAAGCGAAACAAAAAATAAACGTGCAAGCATTTTGACCATTTTAAACCTTTTTCTGTTGATTTTTTAGGGAGGTTGTTTTCTATCTGGTGCATTTTTCGGTTGATTTTCTTTCGTGTGGTTACTTTTTTCTCTGGTGCATTGAATTTTATTTCCTACTTAAAAACGAAAACATATTTCTCTTTTTTTCGTGTGTTATCCCTAAATCATTCATCACATAACTCACATTACAAATGACATTAAAATATATATATTTATAGTAGTAGCATTTTTCTTGCATTGGTTTTCTACAGTTATAGATTATAGCATGGATATAGTATGTGGGATTTTGCATGCCGCTCTATTTGCTTGCTTGGATACTGTTGGTGGATTCGTGATTGATTTTTTTGGTGTTTTTTTTTAATCAGTTTTTGAAGAATGCCGCATGCCGCAGAGTAAGAGAATAGTGTTGTATGAGGTAAAAGCAATTCCAATTGTTAGTTGTTGATGTTACGGAGGTGGTTTGGTTGGGAAGGAAGGAAGGAAAGAGATAAAAATTAAAATTGAGTTAATAAAAAACAAAAAAGCAGAAAAATTATTTGTGTGCGTTAGAAAAAGCGTCTGAGTAGTGAGTGGGTGTTAATGAAATGAGTCATGGGAAATTATATTCAAAAATGAGGTTAAATCGTTTTCAAAGAAATATTTTTTTTTTTCCAGAAAATAAGTCAATCTAAAAAATTTACTGTTTTTGTGGTTTTCAAACATGTTTGCCAGGAAAATAAATAAAAAACGGAAAGCGGAAAAGTTAATGGAGATATATAACTAGTTTAAAGGGAAGTGAAAAAAAAAACTTGTTTAATTGTTTGAGCTATAAAAAATCAAAGCTGAATAGTCAACTATCAATTTAAGAGTGTTTGCTGATTAATTTGAGTATATGTGTTAAAAGAGAGATAGAGAGAGAGCTTTTCGTGTGAGTTTTGTTAATTTTTGCAAGGCATTCAATATATGTATGCAGATCTGATCTCTTATTTTTCTCTCATTCCTGAAGAGAGCTTTGCTTTAATCTTTCATCTTTTTTTATTTTCTTGAGAACTTTCGGGGGCGGGCTATTTATCTTTTAAGTATAGTATATTTGTATGTATGTATATATTCATATATACTTAATATTTTCATTCAATAAATATATGAACAATGTGTTAAGTAAATAGCATTATAGTAATCGTAAATAGTCAATATAGCTATTATCTCATCGCATAATAAACAATTTTTGTTCTGTGTGTGTTTAGAATAAATATTCAAGAAGTTAACTAGAGATTTTTGTTGTTGTTGCAAGTGAATGAATGGCTGTGTGTATCGAGTGCGTGAATGGGTGTGATTTTGAGTGAATGTTTCTACTTTTGTGAAACTAAAAACAAAAACTAAATGCATTTATAGTTTATGGAAGAAAAAAAAACAAAAAGAAAAACAAAGAAATCAAATCGAGATTCATATTTCTCTTTCAAGTTGGTTTTGTTTTTGCTTCGCATTATAACAGTAATCAATAAAATTTCATGTTGTTGTTATTTTCGTTTTTAGCAATTACTTTTTAAGATTTGTATCTTTATAATCGTATATATACTATAGATATTGATTGGTGGCTATATCTTTTTCTTTTGAGTGTATTCGTGTGTTTGTTTGTGTGTGTGTGTCTGTGGCTCTTGAGACTCTTTTTTTTGTTTTGTTCTTTTGCTTAGAATTTGAATGAAAGTCGTAACTAATTATACAGATTTACACATTTAAATGTATTTATTGTATTAGCTATATAATTTGTATAATTCGAGGCCTAAATTGGGTTCTCTTTTACTATTTTCTCACTGGTTTACATTTTATATATTTTTTTCTTTCGTCATTTTTCTGGGTGGGACATCGATCGAATCAAAATGAATAAGTTTATGAATGGATGAATGTAGTTTGGGGATGTGTGGGTGTGGTGTGTTGTTGTTCTTTTTGTTCGTTAAGTAATTGCATATTTTTATAGAAAGAAAGAAACATTTACATGAAATAACTGCTAACATATGAGGCCGCTAAGATGCCCAATACAGTGAGGCATATCAGTATCATGATCTTCTTTCGTCGCGCTTTACTTTGGTATTTAAGCGCCTTCTTGGTATCCTGAGTTGCCGTCTGCACATAGTCCATAGCATGCTCCACATGGTACTCAATGCGATCTATCATCTCGCCCTGCGACTCCACCAGCATGGCCATATCCATGAACATGTCGTGCAGCTCCTTGATCGATGTCTCCAGCTTCATGATGTCTTGATGCCGTGCCTCGATATCCGCCAGCGTCTGTTTCGCCTGCTGCGTCTCCATAATGATGCCCTGGGTGAACACCGATGAGTTACCCTCCTCCAGCATCTTCTCCAGCTCATCGTCGTTGGTGGGACGACCGGTGATCTCCAGCTGACGCTGTATTCTCCCCTTGCAACGCTCCCGATAGTCGGTCTGGGTGCGATTATATTCCGTCATGACTTCCACAAATTTCCTAGACAGCGTCGAATGTTGGGTTTTGCGGATACGCAAATCTGCCGTTGATTTATTCTGTTGCTCCTCCTGTTCGATATTCTGTTCGATGCCCTTGAGTTTGCCTCTGACGCGATTCGCGTTCTTCTTGATATCGGCCATCAGATCCTCGAGCTCCTGTTTGGTCTTCTCGTCGGTTTGTGGGGCCGACAGTATGGCCGAATGCTTCTTCTTCACCTCCTCGACATTGTCCTGCACCTTGTCGATCATGCCGCGTATCTCCTCCACTTGTGAGAAGAAATCATCCATATAGGAGTCATGTCCATCCACATTGACTGCCACATCTTCCGACTCCTCATCGTCCGATTGGGCGGCATGGAGGGCTGCTAATCTATCTTTTGTCATTTTGCTTTTGCTTTTGCTTTTACGTTTACGTTGTTTATCTTCGTCTTCTTCTAGCTTGTCTCACTTTTCTGCTTATTTTGTTGTTGCTGTTTTTTGTTGCGTTTTCTTCGTTGTTTTGTGTGTCAAAAAAACTGTTGCAGTGCTTACTTTTGTTTTTGTTTTTTAGAGCTTTACGTAAGCTTTTCGTTACGCGGCGTCGACGACTACGATTAGCAGTTAGACGTTAACGCACACACACAGGCACATGCACACATGAACACAAGCTCACACGCGGTCACACACATACGCGCAAACGTATACACGCGCGCGGAGTTTTACTTTTTGCTTCTCTTTATATATATATATTTTTGCAGCGTTTTTTTTTTACTTTTCTTTCTGTGTGGCTCAACTTGTTTGCACGTTTTTCCACTGCCTACGACGGAAGGGAGGGGTAGACCTTTTATTGATTTTCCGTTGATTTTCGTGACCGCAACAACCGATTTTCCTTTGCCACAATCTATCTCTCTCTCGTTTGGTTTTGCTTTTGGCTTAGTATATACTTTTGTTGGTTATATACTTCACTGGCACTTTTTCTGCTGGTTTTATTATTTAATATTATTATTTCTCTGCTGTTTATCTTCTTCTCCCTCTTCTCTCGCGTTAACTTTCGCGCTCGCTGGCAAGCACCTCTTCAATGCCAGGCAGCAGCTAAAAAGCTATTCACAGCAGCAACAACAAATGCTTCTTAATTATTGTGACTCACGACGGCACGGCACACGGGTTGCAGATATCGCGTTTATTTTGTTGCTATTTTCCGTTTAAGAATCACACAAGATTAAGTACTCTTTTTTTTTTTTGTGTTTGTTTCGCTTCACGCACACGACCACGCACGCGGCGAACGGTTGTTTTACAGTGGTAATGTAAGGTGTGGGGCGCTGTTGATCGTGTCGTCACTCTTGCAAGGACTCCTCCCTCCTCTTGTTTTTATTTTATTCACGAAATGCAGCAGCAGTGCAGCATTTGCATGTGGAACACGTTTCGCGCTGGTGTGAGTGGCTCGGTCTTGGCTGCAGTATATTTCGGGAGTCCTAAAAAATACCGACAACGCGACGCGTGCTGTGCTGCCTTGGGTGGACAGGACAGGGAGAGGCTCGGCTCCGGCTCCGGCTCCCAAACACACAAAAAATCTCTTAAAATGGGCAAAAAAATCGATTTCTGCGCAAAGCTCCAATTCTCTGCTATTCCTCTTCTTCTTCCAACAAGCACGCTGCGAGAGGTGAAGGGCGGGCGGCGGTACGGTGGGCGTTATTTGTTCTTTCTCTTTTGCTTAGCTTGTTTTATTTTCGTTTGTTGCGTACGAATTCTCGTCGCCGCAGTCGACGACGGCAGCAGCAGCAGGCAGAGGCAGCGGCAATGACGAGCATACACTTCGGTCAGTCGGTCGGTCGGTTGGGTGGGCGGCGGCGGTGGCAGCGTATATGATATGAGACGACCTCCTCTCGCTCTCTCTCTCTCTCTCCCTCACTTGATGATGTCTTGGGTTACTTTTTTGCTGTGTTGTATGTGTTGTTGTCGCCTCTATTGTTTTACCCGCACATCGCTAAAAAGCACACTCGACGCGTTTGCTGGCTCTCGGCAATCTGAAACATGCGTCGCCATCCGGCGCAGCCAAGACCGTCCCCAACAGCCCCAACAGTGCTCCCTCTCTCTTTGGTTTTGTATCTGTGTGTATGTGGACGGTGTTAAGAGTGCGCCGACTCTAATACGGGCTTTCCTCTCTCTTTCTGGTGGCGGCCGCGGCTCCCACGGTCTTTTGGGTGCTCTGGTCCTGCTATGTTTTACAACTGCGTTGTGTGCTTGTATTTCGCCTTTGCCTATATCGGTATTTTATTGGTTCAGTTGACGCCGGCAAATGCGAAATTACTTTATTGCATTTTCGCACCGTTATGCTTTCGTAGTTTTAGACGCATTCACTTTTGTTGGGTTAATTGCTTGTTACCGTAACATTTAATTGCAGGCGCGTTGGCAAAAATTGTTAATATTTTCGAGTGTTTTTGTTTTCTCTTTTGCTCGGCATTTTCTTGTTTTCACTTTTATTGCAGCTTACTATAAAAATACCTAATAGCGCCTAACGAAATGCACTAAAAATGCCCTAAGTGTGGCTGTACTACGTCAACACCAACACCACCACAACAACAACATCAGCAGCAGGGGTTTGTTTGTGGAATCCATTGGCGGCCGGGCCAGAGAATCGGCATGCGCAGGGATTTTTATGAATGAATCGCGACCGGCACTTTTGTTTAAACGAATTTCAAGCTGAAAGGGACTCGCCAATTGGCAATAATCTTGGGAAATGTGTAAAGAAAAATAAATATGTTGAACGGGCAGGGCTGCGATCAGTGGACTATTTTACAACACTGTTGATAATAGGGCGCCCACCCGGCGTAAATTCAAAATATTGCGAATCTCGCTCGTCTGCACGGTTTCCAGGTTGCAAAAATATTATGTACAAATAGAATGAAATGTTTGCTCACTTACCGGATACTTTGTCTGCAACACTATGCCGCATATCTCGTCACCCACCAGAAATTGCTCACCCAGCATCGCCATGCAGACATTCTCCCAGGCACGTTCGATTTTGTTTTTACGCAATCTTATCACCCATTGGCCGCCTTTACTATTCGCCGGATCCTCCCACATCGGTTTGATGCCCTGTTTGAATAGGGACAGCTCCCGGTACGGCTTCAGGGCAGTCGGCCTGATCAGATGCGAGTAGAGGGACCACCATTGCTGGACACTCGCACACCGTCCGACGACGTGCAGCGATTTGCTATAGTCCGTGGCGGCCCGCTGCGTCCCCTTTCGTGAGAACCAAAGGCAGTATGTGTGCTGCAGGCGATTCTCATTGGGCCCCACCTCCAGCGGCGGTAATTTGTCCACATCTATTTCATTCTCCACATCGCTGTCATCACTGTCCACGATCTCCGGCCAGACTTTCCTGAAATGCAAAGGCATTACACATTCAATAATATTTGATTAAAATGTCAGGCGAGTGTGTTTTGCTTTCCAACATCTCCTCGGTCGGCACCCGAAATATTCATTTTACAGTCAGTCGTCACTCAGTCCAGTCCGTTCCACAACCGAACATTCCAAAATCGTCACAACAAGTATCTTGAACACATTTTTATAGAAACTGAAATGAAGCTTTCAATTCGTACACTCGACCAGCGCGTCATCACCCTTGAGATAGACGAGGGGCAGAGTGTGCTGGCCCTGAAGAAGAAGCTGGTTGGCATGCCCGAGGTCTCCCAGGCCGTGGAGAATATACAATTGATCTACTCTGGACGCATCTTGGAGGATGGCCTGCCACTCAGTGAATACAAGATTGCCGAGAACAAGTTTCTGGTGCTGATGGGCAAGCAGAAGGTGCAACAGGTACCGGTACCGGTACCGGAGAAGAAGGCGAAGAAGTCAGAAGAGACAGGATCGGTGCCTAGAATGGCGACAGCTGATGGGGGTTCTGCTGCTACAGCTGCTGGCAGCTCTGGGAATCCAACGCCCTCGGTGTCACCGAACGAAGAGATGGTCCAGCATCTGATGAGCATGGGTTACGAGGAGAAGCAAGTGCGTGCCGCTCTTCGGGCCAGCTTCAATCATCCGGAGCGTGCCATCGAGTATCTGATCACGGGCATTCCAACACAGGCCGCCAACACCGCCACACCGACCCTAACACAGGGCGGCGGCGGTGCATCACCATCGTCGGTCAGCGTTAGTCCATCGGTGGCCGAAACGGCCGTTAATCTGGCACCTCTAATGTCCGATCCGCGCTTTGCACAGATCCGCGAAATGATACGCCAAAATCCCGCACTGCTGGAGGCGGTTCTCGGTCAGATCCGCGAATCAAATCCGGACGTCTTCGAGGCCATACGCAACAATCAGGGCGAGTTTATTGACATGATGAGCCACGACGAGGATAACGACCTAAGCGACGATGCAGAGTTCCCACATCTGGCGGACAGCGAGCAGCACGCATCTCTAACCGCCTCAGAGACGGCTGCCGTGGAGCGTTTGATGGCACTGGGCTTCCAGCGTGACCTGGCCGTACAGGTCTACTTGGCCTGCAACAAGAACGAAGAGCTGGCGGCCGATGTACTCTTCCGTCAGTCCGAGGAGGAGGATCAGTAATCCTCCACTCTGGCTCTGGGTCTGTCATCTATTGTGGCTTGGGGGATCGATCAGTGACGAATAAACAGACCTGGGGGCTATAGTGGTGCCATAAGAACATAACCTAACAAACGCATCGGCCAATGGGCCAAACTGAGAGCGAGAGATGTGCGTGTGTGTTGTTGGCCTAATTTGTGGGAGATGCCACTTACGATTCATATTGTTTGGTTGCAACCTTTTCCATGCTCATCTTTGATGGGTTGGCTGGGCTCTGCGGCTGCTGGCACTTGTCTACTGCGGCGTTCTGGTTGGTATCCTGTCCTGTCCTGTCCTGGCTGGGATATCTGTGGATATTGCTTCTGGTGGCTGTTGCTTCGATTTTGATACAAATGATGATGATAATGCTGCTGTTGCTGCTTCTACTGCTATTGTGTTTTTGGCCCTGTGCCTCCTCTGCTGCTATGACGGTGTTTTGGCCTTTTGTTGTACTTGATTTCCTCTTCCACTGACGGATTCTTCTTTCAATATTCTAGCTCCTTTGCTGCGGTGAAATAGTTGAGCGAGCAAGCGTTTGTGTGTGTGTCTGTGCTGTGTGTTTGTGTGTGCGTATGTGATGGATGATTCTATCTTCCACACACCACAAAAATACGTCTGTCGACTGGTTGCCTGGGGGGGGGCCGCCGCTTTGAGTGGGAAAGGCGCTGTTAACTGGTCACTATTCCGTTGTAAGCAATTGCAAATTTGTTTGGCCGCCAATCGTGAATTTCATGGATACTCCTTGTTTTTTATCTGATTCGTTTTGCTTTATAGCGCTGCAGTTTTGACGTTTCTTTTTGTACACAACATGCGTCCAATTAGGTTCCACTTGCGGTCCACCTTCCACGCGGCGCTGTCAAAATTGGTTCTAGTGCTGCAAAGCGGTTCATGGTTAACCAGCACTGTTCATATATACCCTTATTTACATTTAAACATAGCACGCATTTTATTGCTCATTTAAAAGGTTTTATTAATATATGGAGTTTATCTGGAAAACCAATACTGAATAGCATAGCGTAGCACTCGAAAACCGTTTATCACGTGCCTCAATCCCGCCCAAATTGGTGCACGTGACATTTTTGGCAGGGTATCGATACGTTCGTGTGGAGGGGACTATCTGGTTTGGTTTTGTTTATCTTTGAAAATGGGTAAAAGCGAGAAAAAATCAAAGAAAAAGCACAAGGAGAAGCGCAAGGAGCACAAGGAGAAGCACAAGTCCAAGAAATCGAAAAAGCACACCAAGCAAAAGGAGGCAACTCCGCCGCCGCCGCTGCCGCTGCCGGCCCAAGAAATAGATGAGGATTTTGCCATACCAATAGGTCCGTATCCCCATCATAGCATCGTTTCACTTGTATATTATGTGTGTGTCTTGTTTGTGTGTCCCCACCAAAAATATTTAAGCACTGATGAACAGCAAATCCCATGCGCCCGAGACACCGGAGGAATATCAGCGCCGTCAGAGCCAGATACGTCGCGAGGTGGATCCCGTGACCGGCCGCATACGCCTCATCAAGGGCGACAGCGAGGTGCTGGAGGAAATCGTGAGTAGAGAGCGCCACACGGACATCAACAAGAAGGCCACACGTGGCGATGGCGCGTACTACGAATCCCGATCTCTCGACGCGGCTCGTCGCAAAAAGTAGAAAGAAACCAAAGTGAAATGCAGGAAAAACAAAAATGAAACCCATAAAATATTAGTATTAATTAATAACTGTCCGTTTAATAAACAAATGCTAGCTCGGAGACTATTTATATACACGTGAAATAGGTAGAAAACATTTCTTTGGGGGCCTTGCACGGCCTAGTACAGCTGATGGAAGAATGTGGTGCTGCCGTCCTGCCAGGCGGGATCATCGCTAACCTTGGCCCGGCACATGGGGCACGTTTGCTCGCGCTTGAACCACGTCTGAACGCACTCATCACAGAAAATATGCCCACACTCGAGGATAATGGGCGAATTGAATGTATCATGACAGATGGGGCACACTACGCCCGCTGCATCCAGTTCCTCCTTAGTGGGCGGACGCTCAGAATCCTAGAAAAAACAATGATTGGATAAGGGAAAACCTTTACCGGATATGGCATGCTACGTACAATATTCCGTCTGAAGGTAACCACCGCTTTGTGCAACGACTTGGCACGCTCCACCAGCTCAAATATCTTTGCGCCCAGGTACAAGGCGGAGAAGAGGCCGCCCGAGACCACCTCAAGGCCCGAATAGGACTCGTAGAGGAACATGAACCACTGTGTGATGGGCTGCAGGGCACGATAGAACTGCGATATGTATTCCACCAGGACATAGAGACGAGCCTGCAAAGCAATCATCACACATCACAAGAGAGAAAGGGGAAATCAATGGGTATGGGATGCTTACCCTCACTTTGAAGCGCATCACATGATTGGGCAGCATGGTTATGGCCAGTTTGATGAGCATCGTGAGCAGCTTGATTATGAGATCACTGACCGCTATGTAGTACAGCAGCATGCCCAGTGGTATGACATTCACGGCATCATACGTCTCCGTGGTGATGACCGCCTTCAGCGTCTCCGAGGATGAGCTGGTTGGACCCAATTTGCTGCTTGTCCCCGGCTCCGTTTTGTAGGGCAGGGCGGAGGTCTCTACGCTAAAATATTTCCTTGGCGGCGGCACAATCAAGCCAAACGGATCCGGCGGTGCTGTGGCCAGAAACAGACGCACCGTCACCACTATCCCAATGAGACAGCAATCGCGCAGCATCGATGCGTAGTTCTTTTGTGCCAGCCGGGACACCTGATTCCGCACCGATCGATTCACATTGTACATGACAGTTTGCAGCACCAGCAGATCGACAATGCCCAGCAGGTGATCGTGTATGAATTTGATGAGGAGTATAAAGATGAGGGGCATATATCGCACGAAATGGCTGAGTATCTGCACGACCATGTCGTCCGATATAAGCTGCTCATCCTCGCCCTGGTGCTCGGGCGGCTCTGCCTGGCCATTGACGATGTTGTTTCCGCCAGCAGCCGCATCGCCAGCTCCAGGCAATGCAGCACCGGTTAGATTGCCATCGCCCAGATCTAAATTCGCATTGTGTTCATCCTCGCTCTCCTCGTACGCTGACGGATTGCTGTGCAGCTCCATGACGCTGGCATTGTGCCGGACACCCAGCGAGACTGTGTCGCATTTCACCCTCGCGCAACGAGATGCTGCGGCCCATCATGGCACTGGCACTGCTCGTGGCATTAAGTCCGTGTGCCACTCGTCCGATCCTTAGCGGAGAAGTGCCCACAATTTCTGCACTTGGCTGCTGCTGATGCAGCAGAATGTGCGCATTGTCCACGGGCGACGACGCTGGTGGCGGGTTTCCGGATGCTGACGCTGCTGCTGCCGATGCCGCTGGCTGGTATCGGAAGTTGGAATGTGTGATAAAGGAGCGCAGCGCCTCAGTCGATGGGGCCGTGGACAGGGAGAAGACATCATTCAGATTGACACGCCAGAAACCAAGTTGTCGCACGCCGGCGGATGAGCCCGATGCAGGTCCCGGCGTTGGCCCAACGCCAGGGCTGGGCAGTGGGTCCTCCAGGCTGCTGTTGGCACCCATGCTGCGGGACTGCTGCAGGCGACGGTTCATTTGTGTGGCCACACGGACGGGTGAGCTGGCGGCCGGTGTGTAGGAGCGCTGCCGTGCCAGGAATGAGGAGAGTATGTTGCCGTGTCGCGGGCCACCGCTGAGGCTGCTGCTGCGACCCGTTGGCAGATTGTGGCCGCCAATTGAATCCAGATTGATGCTGGTGTTGTGGGGAATGCCACCCGCCCCACTGCCGCCCGTTGCCATAGAGGTCATCGATGGTGCTGCTGGCAGAAGATAGTCGTGCTCCGCGGTCGTTGAGTCATTGTCGTCGCTTTCAATGTGTATGGATACGTTGGACAGATTGTTGTCCGTCTGGGCAGGACGATAACCAGCGCCACCGCCGCCTGACGGGTCCTTGAGGCCGTTTTTCATTGTTTTACGTGTTCCGCCTGACCCTCAGGAAATTGGGTAAAAACGGCAAAATTTTATGCAAATGGGCACACTTATATTTGGTATTTTCGGTGCCTGGGCACACTTTTACGTTACTTTCTCGATAGTAATTTCTCCTTGAGATGGGCGATTTGGCTATTCATCGTCATTCTCGGGACTTGCCCGCCGGATTTGAAATCTGGGAAAGAAAGGAATATTCAAGGAAAAATTTTTAAACGAGAAGGAACATTTGAGTCGCTCTACTTTTATACCCGTACCACTAACCATACAGTACTAATTGAACTATCGATAGAAATGGTCTCATCACCCTTAGCGATAACATTTTTGCGATTATCTAGAATATTCATCAGGATCTTGATAACGAATTTCGCGGTTCAAATTAAAATTTGATTTTGAAAGCAAATTTCTTTTGAACCATGAACCATGTTGCAGCTATCATTTCCCTGCTTGAATGAGCAAATGCGTGCATAATTATTATGAAAATTTTCCGTAATTTCACCCTCTCTTTTGATTAGAATGCAAATGACTCTGTTAGCTTACCACTTAACCACAACCACAACCAGAACCATAGCCAGAACTGACCTAAAGCCGTTGCCAGGCAACCGAAAAAGAAGGCCAAAACATTAACAAAAAACGTGACCAAAAAACAACCACCAGCACCAAGGACAACAAGGACACCCTATTACCCTATCCCTTGGCAGCGGTCAGTTCTATGCGATATTCAGTGAAACAAAGAAGTGAACGTGCGTGGCGTGGCGAGGGCAAAGAAAAAATGTTGCAGTCGAGTGGCAAAAGAGCAACCAAATGAACAAAATAAGTCAAATGGGTAATTAAAATATAAATATTTTTTATTATACAAAGCTAACGGCTATAAATATATATTTTCTATATATACGGGTACAATGTTGTTGTTGTTGTTTTTTTTTGTTGCTTGTAACTCTACGAGTGTTAAATGCTAAGCCTAATCTTCATTTGATGGATGTTGAACCCCATTTGATGCGTGCGCGCGCGCCTTTCCAGTAAACAAAAAAGTAAAACAAAAATATGCAAAAAAAAATATATTTATATATATATATTTTTTTATTATTGATCAGTCTGTGTTATCTCTCTCTCTCTCTCGTTCTGGCGCTCTCGGTCCCATTAGCCTCCCCTTCCCTTCCCATCCCATCCCAACCCACCAAACCGCATCCGGCTGCAGTGGTGGCCCATTCCCCCCCTCCCTTCCCACTATTAGTGATCTGATCCGTCCGCCCGTGGACCGATCGTTCAATGAACCGGCACCGTGATGCGGGGCGATAAACTTTTGGTTGTGGCGCGATCGCGATTCCGGCGCTGCAAAAACAGCTTGACGGACTCCAGCGGCAGCTGGAAGTGATAGTAGGCGCAATATGGCAACGGATCCCAGTAGGCAAACAATGCCTCACGCTTGTCCAGCGCCGTTGTCGAGGTGCTGCGCTCCAGCGACGACCAGCTCCAGTTGGTCAGCTCGTCCTCGGGCAGGCCCCGCCTATGGATGCACTTCATCGCCCGACACAGCAGCTGGGCGTGCGAGCGATTGTGGCAGATGTAGGGCAGGGCCACGCCCAGCCTGGTGCCCAGCGGCACAAATTGTCCGCCATGGGCGGGTGACTTGACCAGCCGGAAGCTAATGTGTCCATTGATGCTCCGCTGGAAGCGCACCTTGGCAAAGAAGGAGCGCAGCCAGAGCTCGATCTGGGCCTCGTCGTCGCGGCGGCACGGCACCAGATTCTTGGTGTGATGCTCCACCCGGCAACTGACATTGGCCACCACACGCGAGTCCTTGACGGTGGTGCAGGTCACGTAGTGGTGATAGCCGGGCTGATCTCTGACCACCAGCCAGGGCTGCCGTTCGCTTATCTCGTGCTGGCTGAACTTTAGCTCCGCCCTGCGATTGGGCAGAATGTACTTGTGCCGCTCCAGCACTCCCTGCATGCCAGCGGCCATCAGGATGTTGCGATAGCTGCCCACAAAGCCGCTCTCGTAGATGTGCTGCAGCTGTTGCGGTGCCGTCAGCACCGCATGGACGGGCAGTGGCATCTGCTGTGCCTCGCAGCGCTGGAATAGCTGCACGCAGTCATCCAGTTGCTGGGTCTCCTGAACGCTGGGCACAAAGCTGGCACAGCCGAGCACCTCCAGGTGCGGCTTGGCCAGGGCGTCGTAGTAGGCGGGACTGGTGGCACACACCGGCACATACACGGCCGGACGCTCCTTCTTCACGATGTGGCACAGGGCGGCAATGTACTGGTCCGCATTGCTGCTGGTGGGCCGCGGCACCACATAGAACTTGTCGACGGCCGTGGAGAAGCGTGCCAGGCCGAAGAGTCCCTCGAACTCAAAGACGACAACGCGCGCCCCAGAGCCGTAGAAGTTGCGGGCCAAGTGCAGGGTCTGAATGGTGCTGCCACAGCTGAGGAGTATCGTCCGTTGGCGCTGCGGCGTGCCCACATCCTCGTCGCCGCTGAGCAGCCACTTGACCATGGCAATGGGCACTCTCAGGAGCTTCCAGAAGATCCAGAGCACAGCCGATAGCCAGAAACTGGGCGCCGCTATGGACAGCGGGATGTAGAGAATGTAGCGGAGCAGCGTCAGCAGGAAGCGCAGCAGCAGCTGGGGTCCAAAGAGCAGCATGCGAGTGCCCAGCGGACGTTCCTGGGATGGCAATTGGGATTGGGAGTGGCTGCGCAGCAGACTGCCATCGGCTGTGCGCTGGCGACGCAGGGTCACAAAATGCTTGTGAGTTGCAGCAGCAGCAGCAGCAGAAGCAGCTGAAGCACCACCTTCCTCATCCTCTGATTCGTCCTGACTGGGATGCTCCGGTATGAGGTCCAGGGAATTGATGCGACGAAATTTGGAGCGATTCACTTGACGCAATTGTCGGGCATGCTCCTGCCGCAGCAGCAGATCGTCCAGGGTCTGGGACATCTCTAAACACTTCACGCACTTCGAACACTTTCAACACTCACGGGACAGGACAGCGGACAGACAGACTCCGTGGTGTAAGCTTCAAGCGTATTCAATCTGTTTCAATCGCGTTTCGCGTTTGGCTTTCGGCTACGTTACGTTACTGTTGCTGGCGAAAATCGAATTGTGACTAAAGCGCGTTTTAAATAGGAGCTATACTTTAAAGGCAAAGCCAAGATGCATGGCACGGCACCGGCCATCGCATCGCATTGTATTAATGATAACCAAACATCCCCCGACAACGACGGGGAGACACATCCGTCCGTACTGTCTCATTGGGCATTGCCTATACCTATGCACTGGCAGAAAATTTCAACAAACTCAAACGCATTTGATTTATCAGCGAATATCTTGATTGGTTCCTTTATCGCTTGGTCTGATTAGTTTATTGCAGTTTTAGCGATTACCAAATCTGTTTCTTAATGGTCTCTTAGGTAATTTCTGTGGCGCAGAAATAGGATCATTTATGCCTTTTTATGTGCTACATATAGAAAATATAGAAAAACCTTATCAATGACTTTATAAGAGTGAGTTTAGAATGCCTTTGTAGGTACTTGAAGCCTTGAAGATACATTGATTGAATATAGATTTATGCAGAAGTCAACAGCTAAATAAAAACGCCAACATCAGACATAAATTTTCTATTAGATTTGAAGCTTCAACATTTTTAAATTTAATGATGATATTTTGTTTTGTTTTAAAAAATTAATTGATCATTTTTTTGTTTTAGAGGCAAGCTCGCTTGTGGGCACACAACTTGAGTATGGTACATTTAGTTTTGAAGAACTTTTCTATTCTGAGAAACTAATGAATGGTGCTATAATCGCTTTTATTAACTTGGCACTTCTCATTTACCGTCTGGGAAATATTAAGCTGTCAAATGCATAAATGATCGTTTTGGACAGTATTTGTAGTCGTTAATTTTGACATTCCAAACTCAGAAAGAGTCGAAATAAATTAGATTATTGTTGTTCGTGCCGATGCGAATAAAATATATTACCTACCATTTTATTTTGGTTTTTGTTATTCTCTCAGTGTACTAATTAGCTGCCACATACTCGTACAGCACAACACACACGCATACGACTCTGATCAGACAGTGCTCTAATGTGTGTGTTTGTGTGTCTGTGGACGAACGATGATGATGATGATGATATGTTTACCCAAGTATCAAAGCTATTGTCGCCACTATAGCGTTGGCTGTCCCCCGGCGGAGAGCCCTCCTCCGATACTCATCCGTTTGTCTGTGATCTTTGATGATCGCTGATGTATAAATCATCCCGTTGCCGTGCGGCGCAACATTTGTAGATTGCAAATAGAAGGTTCGCTCCACATGGGTGCACGTATGCCAGGGCACAAGAATAACCATCACAGGAAAGGGCGATCGATCTACCCATCCAGCCATCGATGGAGCCCTTCTATCCTCTGCTCTCTCTCTGGCCAATGCACATCCTGAACGAATCAGATTAGTGGCACAAAAGTGAACTTTGTTCTGTCTCTCGCAATACGTACTATATGTACAATGTACATGTATAAGGTACGAACGAGTGTGCTGCTCAATCCCCCCATTTACAGTCTTTACGGCACTTGGCTTTGCCGACTTGCCGACTGGCCGCCGCCTGATAAGAGTCTGACTATGAACCCAACGAACACACTCATTAAACAAGCAAATCGTCGGACAGCACAGAGAGGAGGAGTGGAGAAGCACAACTTATGCTTCGAAGAAATAATCTCACACCTACACATAGTATTCGAAGATGTCGCTTTGGACCGTAGATTAAAACTGAAAGTGAAGGCAAACAAAACACCTCACCTTAATTATTGCTTAGAAATGGAAATGCATAACATAACCAATCAAATGGACTTTGACAGTCTACTACTATATACTATATACCATATATAGAGTGGATGTTATTCTCGATTTCTATATCTATATGTTCTATATAGAATATTCTATATACCGTTGTGTGTACCTGTCATATTTGTTGGTAGTATCTCCTCAAGGTCGCCTTCTTAGGTGAAAGCCAACACACACAGCTGATAATGAGGCACTTAATTTTTATTTTCATCTATAATAT